TGTATGGATTGTGAGAAGAGTTGTATGAGCCCCTAATAAAATGATTAAAAAAATAACAAATTTTCATTTCTCCAAAAATTAACGTAGGGGCAAAAATTAGGAGGAAAAGGAAAACAATGTAAAATAAACCTCTAAAGCTGAATAGGGAAGAGATTTATAGCAAGATGGTAGGCTAGTAAGACATACTAAGCAGAATTTCTATAACACTAAATGAAACAAATAATAGATGATAATCCTGGAAAAGAAAAGGAGACTGAATACCGACTAGAAGTAAACAAAAGCAGCTAGAGAACAAACAGATGAGTACACTGGTGGTTGGCTAGATGCAGCTTGACCATAATTGCTCCATTTGCTCACAATCAGTACAAACACCCATACTGGTGGTTAATGAGAAAGGTAGGATCCTCTCTTGTTCCCCACATTGGCCAGTTTCCAACATCACTTGCCCAGCAGCCATTTCAACACCCCTGCACAATCTTTGAGGGCATAGCCACGTATCTCTGTGGATCATTCTTGGTGCACAAACTCTATGTCTACAAGTACGTTAAGTCACTTCATCAGAGTGGTAGAAAGCACAGTGTGACTTGTTGCTGGCCTCCCTTAGTGGGCAAGAACTCCTTCTAGAACCACTAGCCTTGGCCCCAGCTGCCCTTTTTCAGGGACAAGCAGCCCGATCGCAACCCCTGGATACATCTACACAAACTACTTCTCAAGTAAGTTCCTTAACCCCATAAAGCTAGATCTGCAGGAAATCCATCTAAGATGCTCCCTACCTCCCCTAACCTCTTTAGCCTGTGATCTCCAAATTGGGTACTCCAGTAATCCATTTTCTCCCCCTTCTCTGGTTTCAGCCCTTGCACCAGTTTTCTCCTTTATTCTACTTTTCCTTCCTTGATTCTTATCTTTCCCTGCTTCCCTGTTTCTATTTTTACTTCTGTTTTCTCTTTCAGTCCTCCCTAATTCTGATATTTTCTTTTTTCTCCCTACAGTTTTACTTTACTTTCCCTGTTTGAGTTACGGAAATCTGTTTTCTTGTGTTGTCTATCTGCTTTCTCCTACTGAGCGAAAGTTACAACCCATTCCTATATGACCTGTGGTAGTTACATAATCTGGTGCCAATTTAAGACTATCAACAGTGAAGGGGTGGAGTTTAGTCTGTCAATCAGGTCACTGCTCGATGACCTCATTTAGAGGCGCTGCAGAGATAAATAGCTCACTAGAGGTGGGACACAGACACTCCCTGCGAGATACTCCTGCTGACAAGCCTGATGGAGCTACGCTGATGCAGCCAGAGTCCTGGAGCTGGAGGAACCACGTAGAGACTCACACCAGCGCTGAC